AAAACAAGTTATTTTTGATTTAATTAAATTCGGAAAAAGTTGCAAAAGCCTTATTTGATATCAATTAATATATTACACTTTTACATTGCTATATGCACCTATATACTAAAATGTAATGCTGAAATATGTAAATTAAATCTGAAAAATGTAAACAATAATAATAATTGTAAACAATGTGCTTTATTATTTTAAAAAATAAAATTTTTTAATAAAAAGCACGTAAATTTTTTGAAATTACAATTTATAATAGACAAATCATTAATAAGTGTGCGTACTGCCAGTATAAAAAATATTTCTGAGGAGTGTCAAGATTTCTATTTTTATTTAAAAACAAATCAATTGATTAATAAGATTTTAAATAGGATTTAAATAATAATAATAACAGGCAGATTGAAAATATTTGCTTTGATAATAAACAAAATTAAAGTAAAAAGTAAATTATTTAACTCAAAAAATTCATTTAAAGTAGAAGGTTTTTGAAAAATTGTAAAAACTCCTTGAGTTTTACATATTGCAGTAAAATGGTTTTTATGTCAGATTCAGCTTTCGCATATAAATTGCTGAATAGACCATAAAAGCAATATCTTAAGAATACAGGAACTAGAACAGAGGGATTTTTTTTAGAGTCTGGATTGATTTTTGATCATGAATTTGCTCTTCAAATTGATAATTACCTTATTAATTTACTTCAAAATTGCAATATTATTTATATATAATTATAAATCAACAAAAATAATCTCGTAAACTGAATTTGCAGCTATACTAATTAAAATTTTTGAAATGCTCTTGAAATTTTGCAATAGCACAAATTTTATAACTTATCATGAAATAGAATAGTCCTTTTTTCATAAAATTGAATTTTATTATGAAATATAACAGTTCAAAGTCAAGAATAATTTTGTTTTAGATAGAATAATTATAAAATTTAATTTATTTAACTTACTGTTTTAACTCATCTTTATTTACCCATATGATTTAATTTATTATAATATTTTATAACTGTATTATTATATATAAGAGTATATAAGTAATAAACTGTTATATTAAAAATAAAAGTAAACATATTTAAATAAAAAACGAAAAATTGTTTTAAAACTTTTTCTTATACATTGTCTATGTCAATATTTCTGTATACATAAACTTAAAAAAAAAACTTGAAATAAATTAAAAATATAAATTATTTACACAAAAACTTAATAAATATTTTAGTTATACAAAAATACAAAGAAACTGAAAAATATCATAGGACTTTTTTTCTTTTGACAAGTTTGTGGCTCTTAAAATGTCATTTTGTTTTCTCTTCCCAAGTTTTTATAGGTGTTAATTTAAAAAAGAAGGTTTTCATTTTTAATTATAAAAATTTCTTATTTATTTTTATAATTTTTTAAAATATTTTTTACACATTTATATATTTACTTATATTGTTTACAAGTGTAATAATTTTAAATGTTTTTTTTTTTAATTTATTAAAAAAAAACTATTGAAAATTATAAAATAAATATTATTTAAAATAATATTCGCTAATAGTTAGAATAAATTTTAATTAATTTTTTTGTACATTTCATATTTGTTTTAATGCACATGTGAATTTAGTTCAAACATAAACTGAAAACTTAGTAATAAGCACGAGGTACATAAGAGAAGATTACACATGAGGTACACAATATTGAATTCAATTAAGTAATAATTTACCTAATCATTTAATTTACTATTTAAAAAATATTACTTAATTTTTATCTAATTAATTGAGAATTGTATAATATTTAAAAAAAAAACTAGGAAATTTCATTTATACAATATAGTTGTATGTATGTGGAAAAAATTCTTGTATATTTTTAGTTAAAATCATCGGACTTGCCCTAAGAAATTGAATTTGAAAGTTTAATTTAATTTTGTATGATAAAAAAAACTTGAAATTTTTTTTCTCGCAGAACTTTCAAACTTATTAATATACAAAGACCAATTATCTACAATTCTAGTTTATAACACTATTTTAAGAAACAACAAATTCAACTTACACTATTTTTGTTTGTAACTACAAAATTTAGAATAGAGTTAACAATATTTTCTTATTAAATTTTATTTATTCCTCCAGATGGCTTCAAATATTATTGTGTCAGAATAAACGTCAAATCTTCAATATTACGATTTCCATACAAAACCGGTTTCTATATTTTGTAACTGCTGTCTTAAACTCAAATGTAGTTTAAAGCTTTACTATATACATACCTTCTAAACATATATTAATTCATAATTTTAGAATAACTTTGAATCTACACAATATTCTAAGCATTTCATTAAACAATATCATGTACACATAATAGCAACATGAATCATTTTAGTACAAGGTTAACAAAATATTGTGCAGCTATTATAGAGTGTAACTAAATATTATTGTTCCATATTGTTTAACTTCTCATGGTTGATATACTTTTACATACATTCATACATACATTTATGAATTACCATTCTTAATACTTCTATTATTTAATTTGCAATAAAAAACACAAAGCGTAAAACAAATATTTTTTTGTTTTCAAAATTAAATTAGTGCAAAAATTTAAAATTGCATAAATAAAAAAATTATAAAATAAGTAAATAAATAAAATTAAATTTTTTTTTTTATTTTATTTACCTACATGGTTACTGTACCCTCATTAAAATTTTTTTTATTTCATATTGTTATTCTCGAGTTTTCTTTCATATTTTTCTATTATAAGTGGGTTTTCAAAATTAAAAATGAATTCATAATAACGACAATAGAATAAAAATTATTGTACTTTGACAAAAGTACTATATGTAAACAAAGATTAAAGTGAGACAACGAAACTTAAAATAATTGAAAATTTTTAAATTTAAATCTTTGATAATTATTTTTAAAGTAATAGAAAAAATATTTAATTAATTAATTATATACAACAAGATCACCATTTAAGATAAAAAATATTTTTAAAAAATTCATTCAAAAAACCATAAAGAAGAAGAATGCAATAGAGCATAATTTTATACGCATTTGATCTTATTCACAATAGATTCTAATTATTATTCTTTTAAATAAATATTTATGCATTTTCCAATTAAATTTTATATTTATAGTACTTGATAAATTTCTTGAAAAATAACCTAGTTTTTCTTATATTTATGTGCTTATAAAACAAATCCATTCACAATATTAAAATTTTTTAAAATTAATTCAATTATAAAAAATTTAATCTAATTGTAAATTTGCCTTTTAAATGAAATTAATCCGGTAGAATTATTATAAATACATATATAGGAGAAAAAAAATATGCATTATTTTTCTTAGTTTTAATTATTACTATTTACAAATTTTATAATTAAAAATCTTAAAATAGAAAATATTAGGGAAAATAAAATGAAAATGATATTATTATGCAGAAATAATAACCATATTTGTTTAGTAAATTAGATGGGCCTCCCGAATAATAGACACTTAAACCATTTTGGGCTCGTTATAGTACTTAAACCGGCTACCATTATGAAGTCTATCCGTTTTACATCTTGTTAATTTTGAAGACAATTAAATCAGCAAAAACAAAGCTATATTTATTTAGTATATCTTCTTAATTCGAAATTGCAATATATTTAGGTATTTAAATGCAAAATTCAGCTTATAAATTATATAGTGGCTGAATTGAGTAATAATATCGTATTTTTACAATTTTGAAAAATTCTCAATATAAATCAGAAACTACTTATAAATTCCGTAATTAAATTGGTTTCTTATATGAAACAAATTTTTATTTACTAGTTTTATTCTATAATTAGTAAAATTACAACACCAAAGACAGTTACGTAGGCGAAAACACATTGACCATTTAATTAAGAGGAAATTAAATACAAATTCTAAAATATTATTGAAAGGAAATGATTACATTTATACCATAATAAAATTATTTAACACTTGCAGGAAGTTATATAAATAAATATCTGTTAAGCCATTAACATTATATTATACCATTAAAATCCGTATTATACCAGTAAAACATGTAAAATCCATTACACTGTGTTTTAATATCAATATTAAATTAAAAAATATATACATATATATCTTAAAAATATAAAAATAAAAATACAATAATCATTATTTTATTTTTAAACATTTCAAAATTAATAATATTTTACATTATTCATAATTATATATCCTGACTTAAGAATTGCAATAATTCAGTATTAATATACAATTCAGCTTATAAATTGTAATTGCTGAATTGTGTAGCAATTTATTTTTTAAGCATTACTGCAATTTTAAACTCATGGATAGCTACAATTTTAATACAATACAAATGTTAAGTAATTACCAATAATTTAATATTCAATAATGATGGCTTTCTACTCCTCCTACATATACTCTTGATTTTTTATTTCTATTTTGTATACCCAATGTTTTTCATATGTATATAAAAGTTCTAAAAGGTATACTTGCATTATTTTATTATTTTTATAACAATTTCCTTATTATTATAATTTATTAAATATTTCTTTTTAAAAAAAAAATTAAAACTCAGATGCATAAGTTGATTAATAAATCTCATAATATAATAATAGTGAAAAGGCAATAACAGTGTATTTATAAATGTTAATAAAATATGTTTATTGTTATCTTATATATTTTCAGTGGGTGTGTATTTTAATATATATACATATATATACTTAATTATAACCATATTTTAAAACATCACAAAATACCATATTTCTTATTATAGAAAATGGAAATATATGCGATATATTGAAATTAAGAAAATAACCTTACATACATAATGTTTTGTTAAATTTAATTTTTATAAATATAATAAAAAAAGCTCATATTATTATAGTTGTAGTTGTTGACAAGTTGAACTTCTCGAATATTTTTATATGAATGTCATCATAAAAAAAAAAAAATAAATGTATTAAATTTTTTTTAATCATCATCATTTTTATTATTTGAAAATATAAAATTTTACTCAAAATTTTATTGATTTTTTTTTTATTTTCAGAATGCTTTAGATTTAAGTGCCCCAGCATCACCTGTATTATTACAACATGGTAATAATAATAAACCGAATGGTTGGGTTCAATTATCAGGACATCCGGAAAGGTAAATTTATATACATTTATAAATACATAAATATATAAATTTAAAATACATATTTTTTATTTTTTAGTTTATGAAAATTTTTTTGGTGTTTAATTTCAAATACATAATGCAATAAATATATTTGATGTTAATGTGAACGAATTGTCAATATTTATGTCATTATTTTAACTATCAAGAGAGAGAGAGAGAGAGAGAGAGAAAATATTGAATTAAAACTCAATTTTCAATTAGATTTCATATTGTTTTCAAATTAAGATTAGCAATTTCCTTTCATTTTTTGTGAAAATTTTTGAAATATTTTACTAAAAAGTAGAATTAAAATAAAACTTGTAGATTTTAAGTGAAACTAAAATTTCAAATATAATAGTAAGTGGACAAAGGGGTTAACTTACATTTGCATCTTGACACTTTTTTTTCATCATTAGCAAATTGTAAAAATATTAATTTTTTTTTGTTACTTAACTCTTATGTACACTGTCAATATTATCTTTTATTAAGTTTCTAGCTATAAAAGTAATCACAGTTGAAAATATTTGGAGTTTAATAATGTATGAAAAGCTCAATTTAATCCCTTCAATTTAATCCCTTTGTCTGTCCACTTACCTCTTCAATTGTTTATTTTTCAAAATTAAACAATTTTTAAAGATTCATATTGTATTAAATTACATTTTCTAATTACAAAAGTATTTGGTGTGTATTTTGAAAAACAAATGTATAAGTGTTACCGTTATGCGATAATTCACATTTAAATATTTTTCAATCTGCCTATTCTAATTTTGTGTATAGCGCTATCGGTTTGAAATATGGGAAACCAATAATCTATTGATAAAACAATTATACTAAAATTAATTACTAGCTGTACAGATAGCTACAAAATGCTAAAATAAAATTGAATAATTACAATTTAATTTAAAAAATCTAACACAATGTTATTTATTTAATTAGTTGTTTATTACTCACTTAAAATTGTAACAAAAGTTAGTTTTTTTTTTATTCTTATGCTTAAAATACTCACTTCTTTTTTCAAATAATCATTTATAATTTATTTACTTAAATCAATTGATGTGTTGAAATTATGTATATATATAGTTATACATACTTATACCTACTCATTATCCATTATGGAAAATTACTGTTTATAAATATATGAAAAAAAAATAAAATAAATTTTTATCGTATATTCTATTATTAATTTATAAACAACATTTTATTTTTTTTTTTATCAAAATATGGTATTAATTATTGTTAAAAAGAAAACCATATTCTATGTACATATGACATGTACTCATGTATATGTACTCATAATAAAAAGAAGTAGGTAAATATTATGTGTATGTACTTTATTTTTGATAAAAATAAATTCTATCATTCCAAATAAATATTCTAGGTTATTGAAATTAAAAGAAAATATTATTTTTTTTTTTTATCAGAGGCATAACATTGTACTATTATATTCACATAAGGTTTTAGTACTATTACAAAAATGTAAAATATAAATTTTCAGTACTTTTGTGTTGTCAAAGTTTCTTTTTAAATTTTCTATATTTAAAAAATTTTTTATTCATATTGCATAATTAAATCTGGATTTAATAGAAAATAAACTACTTATTATTAGAGCTAAAAAAATTTTAACTAAAATTAAGACAAGGAAATTATTAAGGATAATAGCAATGACAATTAATAAAGTATGTACTGAATATGATACTGCAGTACTTTGTTATTTCAGTACTACTTAAATTTCGTTATTAAAAGCAAGTTAACAGCGCATGTAGTTTATAAAATTTATTAAAAAAATATTATTAAACATCTTAAAGGAAAAAAATTTAATTCAAGAACAATTTAAAATATTTTCAAAAATTTTTTAATTCAATTAAAATTTAAAATCACAAAATCTTTCAAATAAGGTTATAAATCATGTCCTCTACTCCATATATCCATAAATATATACATATAAAATTACACATTAGAAAATCAAAAAAATTTTAAATGATTTTCATTGTTGTTTGTTATGAATTTTAATTATTTTATATTAGTATAAATTTTTCAAGAGAAACACTATCACCATGTTATTGAAAAAATTTAAAATTAAATTATACTATGAAACGACAATACTACTTTGTATACCCATATTTATATAGTGTATATCAAAATATTGTTCTCTGTGACACATCACACATCGTCACTGGATGATGAAAGAACATGTGTTTTTTAGTATATGTAGTGCTTATTATTATTGTATACATATAACTCTAAAAATATCATACAGATTTTAATTTTGACTATAAAATAGATAAGAACCAAGAATGGTTTTGTAATTATAACTAGTAAAAAATAAATAAAATTCGATATAAATATTATTACATTTTGTACATGGCAACCAATATTAATTTCTAAAATATAGTAAATATTAGGAACATACGTACATATATAATATATAAAGTGTTGAGATGGTGAATGTACAGTGAATTTGTTGTGTTCATAATTTTAAGTATATACGTATAGTTTGAGATAATTCTGACTTGTTTTCATATTGTAGAACTATAAATAATTTTGAGATATAAGAAACCGGCTTAAAATAATTTATTGGGGTTAGATAAACTTTGTCTATATGTAGGTTCGTAGTTTAACTTTTTGTTTTTTAAATTAAGGTTATTTTTAGTAAAATGTAGGCTTGTTTATGTTATGTATTTGAAATCATTCTAAATTCTGATAAAGAAAACACCAATTACATAATATTGAAAAAAAAATTTATACAAAATTTATTTAAAAATTAATTTATTAATTTTTATTTTCTCTTTTTTATATTTACAGTATTGTACCAACAGCAACTGGTATTGTACGTAAACGTATACCATCATTAGATGATAATGAATTAAAATCATATCAATCAATTGAATCAGATCCATATGCATCAAATTTAATACCAGAATTTTATGGTGTACATAAAATTAATGGTGAATATTATATTGAATTACAAGATTTATTAGCTGGTTATAAAGATCCAAATGTTATGGATATTAAAATGGGTTGTAGAACATTCTCAGAGACTGAAGTATCAAATCATACATTACGTTCAGATTTATATAAAAAAATGATATCAATTGATATGAATGCACCAACAGATGAAGAACATAATAATAAAGCTATTACAAAATTACGTTATATGCTATTTCGTGAACAAATATCATCATCACATACAAAAGGTTTTCGTATTGAAGCATTAAGAATGCGCGGTAATAAACCAATTAAAGATTTAAAGACTGTACATAGTTCAAGTCAAATTGAAATAACAATAAGTAATTTTTTAAATGGTAAAAAATCAGTATGCCGTGATATATTAAAACGTTTAAAACAGATGCGTTCATCAATTGAAAAATCGGAATTTTTTCGAACACATGAAATTGTTGGTTCAAGTATATTTATTGTTTATGATGATAATAAAACAAATGTATGGTTAATTGATTTTGCTAAAGCAAAACAATTACCAAAAGGTTTTAAAATTGATCATCGTAAACCATGGTCACCGGGTAATAAAGAAGATGGTCTATTAAAAGGAATGGATGAATTAATAAAAATTTTTGATGATATTTATGAAAGTATGATTATTTGAAATAATTAATAATTATTGTAATAAATATAAAGAGAATTGAATTAGAAATGTTGAATGAAAATGGTTAATACCCACGAATATGAATTGTTAAAAGAACATTTTTTGAAGAAAATGCAATCAGGAAAAAAAAAAAACATTGAGTATTTGAAGAGGGAGAAAAGCAAGGAAAAAGACTTTCAGTGTATAAATAAAACTCCACTTAATTAGAAATTTGTACGATGAAGAAGTACAATAATATTTTTTTTTTTATAATAATATTATGTAGAGCAAGAATTATGCTGCCTTATAAGATAATAAGATGAAGATTTTATGATAAAAGTCTTTTTATTGTTTTTTTTTTTTTCTTATTTTTTTATATAATAATTATATTTTGAAAAGAATAAGTTTTTGTTCTTCAAATATATTTTTTGTTTGAAAATGGAATTATAGTACTTAATTCCTTAATATTTTAATATTGCTAAAAAAATATACATATATATATTTTCATATTCCTTATGCAAAAATATAAATTATATGTACATAAAAGAAAATATAATACTTATATAATTATAAATGTAAAATCTAATCAACGAAGACTTAAAACATTATTATGTTAAATACAACAATTGTACATTATTATAAAACTGTGTAAAAACAAAAACTAATAAATAAAATTAATTAAAATATCAAAAAAAAAAAATAATTAAATAAAATTATTATTAGATTTAAGTAAATTTAAATTTAAAGTAGAATTTCATAAATGAGCATATCCTGAGTGTCATTTATCAAAGATTACATTAAATTTAGTATTTGTCAGAGATCGCATGTAAATTAAATTCACAATTTTTGACTGTCAAATTAATTTGGACTTAAATTTTAATAAATTCTTAAGCAGTTTGTAATAAATTAATATAAAATGCCTCATAAGTGACACTCTCAATATAAGCTCATTTAATTAAAAAATTTAATAATTTATTTTTAACTTTCTTGTACATAATAATAATATCATATTAAAAACAAAAATCTTATTTATTAAAACAAAACAAAAACAACAAAAAAAAAGTAAAACTTAAAAATTATTTATTTTTTTTTTCTTTTAAATTAAAACAAAATGTTACCAGAAGATGTTACTTAAAATAATTTTTTCTCTTATATATGGTTCTTTTTTTTTTCAAAAAACTGCCAAATAAAGTTACAATTTCTTAATTAAAATTATTTCAAAAAAAAAATTTACTTTAAATTTATAAAAAAATTAAAAAAAATATGTAAAATTTTGTTAATTATTTTTTTAAAAAAAAAGTCATGTATTTTCAAAATTTTGCAAGTTTTGTTTTTTTGTGTTTTTGCATTTCTGTCATTATTCAATTTTGACAATAGCTGGAGCTGTATTCTGAATGTCAAAATAAGAATTTTGACATTAGCTGTAGCTAAATTCTGGCATTATCAATTTATTTGAAATTAGTTCAATTTTAAATTTTCGGTTTTAGTTGTTAGTTAATTCAAGTACACATTAAATTAAATCTAGTTTTGTTTAAATAAAACAATTTAGAGATAATTAACATTTATAATAAAAAATTAATTTATTTTTACAATTAAGAACTTGCCCAATTTTCAAAATAAATGACTTTTATTTTAATAATGAAATTCGCAAACTAAAAAAAAATTTGTTCATTTTGACTAAAGTAATTAAAATTCAATAGTGACAATGAAAAAATTTTTTTTTTTTATAATTAATTTAAACTTGCTTTAAATTTAAAGAAATTGTAATTATATAATAATATGCAATATAAACTTTAAATTTTCATAAAAATCTTAAAAAAAAAAATAACAATTTTAAATTCATTTACATTATATTTCATAAAATTTCAGTAAAATTATGTCAATTATAAAACTATAAAATGCATTTAATTATTAATAAAACTTAATTTTTAAAAAATCTTAATAAATATTATAATATATTTTATTGTATTTCATTATTATAGATAAAATTACATTATAATTATTATAAACATTAAATTTTTTTTTTTTCGACCTTAATAATTATTATTAAATATTTTTAATTTTTAAATCTATTTAAAATTAATTTATTATTTTTTTTTTCCATATTGGAATTTTCATTATAATCATAAACAAAAAAAAAAAAAACATAAAAGAAACCTCAAATAAAATATTAATTTACTATAATTTAAATTAATTTGTTTTTATTTAATTGGATTATATAAATTAAAATATTTATTAATTGTAAGAAATAAGAAGAGTAAAATATTTCAATAGCAATCAGAGCCCATTATTTAGTTCTTTATGACAATGATGCTAGTGCACTGTGAGAACACTGCATACACCAGAAGTACTAAACTTCTTTTAAGGCTCGGCTCATATTGTTAAAAAGTAAGTTCTGAAGTTAAGCTAAAAGTTCAAGTTTGGATTCGCAAAAAAAGACTGGATAAATCCAAAGTTTATTTGTCGTTTGGTTAGGTTATAGTAATTTTGTTTGACTAAATTCTATAGATGACAATGACATTTTAAAAACAAAATTTTGTAAGATCCAATGAGATTTTGATGTACACTTGAAATTATGATGTAGGTAGAAACTTGTAAGAATTATTAATAGTTTTTAGATTGGAAAAATTATGAGATATATGGTATGGGGATTTTTGATAATTCAGATATGCAATTAAAAGTTCTGACTGAAGTTCTAAAATCTTAAAAATTTTTTTGCATCATTATAGATCTACAGGATTTATCTAGTTTATTTTTAATCAAATTTTTAATATCTTACACTTTTCTATGGGATTTTTTTTCAAACTTAAAATACTTGCTTTGAAACTTTAAGCATGCCTCGTTTCTCGACCGTGGTTCTTTTTTATATTGAACATACTTCATTTGGAGATTTTGTAATATTGATTTAAGGTACATGCTTTATATTAAGACCTAAGTTAAAACTGAATTATCGAAAATCCCTAGTATTAGACTCTTACATTTTCATTATCATAATTATCGATTTTAAAAGAAAAAGAAAATAGGATTCTGAATTTGAGAATCCTATTTAATGAAACATATTCGTTTTTGACAAGTATTATTTTAATTTTCATTTTTCCATTTCATAAAATTTAATTCAAATAAAAATTTATTTTGAACCTCTTTTTTTTTAAATTTATGTGGAACTTTTAACAATTAATAATCTATTAGTAAATGAAATTCACAAAAGAAATGAAATTGTGAATTTAGTCAACTGAGTTTTTATATTCATTCATAGATGTCGCATTACAGAATATGAAAGTGCTGCCATAGGGATAAATAAATGTATATGGAATTTGGTTTTGACTTTTGGGACATAAAATGGAAAAAAAAATTTTTTTGGGACATACAAATTAATTAATGGGAAAGAAAATCTAGTAAATTTTAACAAATTCATGATGTAATTTTATTTTTACAATGTTGAGTCTGTATTAAAAAAAATTTTTAGATCAAATTTGTATAATAAAATTAGATCTTAAGCTATTTTTTAAACATAACACCTTCCTGTTTTTATTACACTTCACACTAAAACCCTATTTCAGACAATTCAATGACAGCTGGCATCTTGATAATGCGTTTGTTCTTATTCTCGAACTGATGTAAATAAATAACATATGTGCGATATTGTGGTAAGATTAAGAAAAAACTTTTTAATTAGAAAATTATTAATGATATTTTTTCCAGTCTGTGATTATAACAATTTTTAACGGTGAAAAATGGGTTGAAAGTTGTTTTAAATCTATTCTAAGTCAAAAAATTTCACTTGATTCCTCAGAAGATTATAATCATAATTGTGACTGTAATTCCCATGAAATTTCATATCAAAAATTAAATCATAAAAAATGTAATACATATTTTTATACAATTCCATTAATAAAAATTGAATTGTGTATTTTTGACGATGCAAGCACGGATAATACTCTTAAACTTCTTAATCAATGGGAAGAAATTTTTAAAAATCATAATATAGATGTAAAAATATTTCGAAATACAACCGGTAAACCAAAAGGTGTTGGCTACGGTAGAAATGTTGCAATTAAAAAATCAATAGGAGAATATTTATGTTTTCAAGACATTGATGATATTATGTTTCCTAATCGGATAATTAATCAATACATTTTAGCTAAAGAAAATAAAAATTCTGTAAGTATTAGAAGCCCTTTATTTAAAGACAAAATATATTCTAGTCATTTTAATTAAATAAAATTTTATTTTAAGATAATTGGCAGTAAATTTATTCGTATACCTGAAAATTCAACAAATCGTTTTCAACGTTGGGCAAATAATTTACCTGAAAGTAAATTAAATTTACAAGTTTATACTTCGAATGGTCCAACTATTATTATGCCAACATGGTTTTGTCATCGATATGTTTATGATGCTGTACCTGATGGATTCTCTGAGAATGGTAAAGGTACTCCAGAAGATTTAATATTCTTTTATAAACATTTAGATAATGGTGGAAATGTTATACGTTCAAATGAAATTCTCTTAATATATCGTTATCATCTGAGTGCAACAACATTTTCTGTATCAGAAGAAACAATATGGCAAATTCGTTTAAAAAGACTGATTAATAATGTTTTATGCACAAAAGAATGGTTAAATGGTTTTACAATATGGAATGCCGGTAAACAGGGTAGAAAACTGTTTCGTGATATTCCTGATGAATTTAAAAGAATCGTTAGAGCTTTCTGTGATGTTGATCAAAGTAAGTTTTATTTCTTAGAGATCTGTTATCAATCACTTATTTTTTATTTAATTTATTTTTAGAAAAAATTGATCAAAAATATAATTATTTTGATAAAAATAAGCGTCAAGTAACATACTCAATACCAATAATTCATTTTGAAAAAATTAAGCCACCAATTATAATATGCATGAAACTAGATCTAACGAATGGAATCTTTGAGAAAAATCTTAAAAGTCTTAATTTAAATGAAGGAAAAGATTATATCATTTTCTCATAAATTAATTTTATATTGAAGCAGTAATGTTTAAGAGTGAATTTCTGCTGCCTTCTCATTTAATTCTAAATTATTGAAGGTAATATAACAAAATACGAATTATGTTATTGATTCTGATAGATTTTATTATTTATTAAAGATAAAAAATGGATTTTAATTTAAAAAAATAAAGCCCAACTTTTTAAAGTATAAAACTTTCCAAAATTTTCTTAATTAAATTAAACAGCTTCAAATGTAATACTTAACAATTTGAATGCTATTATAAATTTTTTTTTATATCTAGATAATTAAAAAAAAAATTGTTGATGTAGTCATTAAATATACAATTTTTGATCTTTGGCTTCTAAAAAAGATCTCAAAATGGCAAATGCTTTAGATTTTTATACAAAATTAAATTGCAAACATTTCTTTTAGAATAGCTTTTGTATCATGCGGTGTAGTTACTTTATGTCCAATAACTCTTTTATCAACAAAAATTTCATAATCATTACCACCTGGTTCTGTTTTGTCACCGAAAAAATGAATTTCTTTAAAATTTCCAACTTTTTCAATATGCCGTAAGCAATATGTTTTATCCCAACCTTTTGGGAAAACATCAAAACTAATTTGTCCTCCGATACTGTATGTTAAATCAACATCATGAAATTCTTTTCTAAGAGTATCAATCATTTTTTGTCTAATATGATGTTCATTATCGTATTCATTGAATAAATTTCGCTCTTCTCGACTACATTGTCTTCCAACTGGACAAATATTCATCATACCATTTCTAAATTCTAAAAATGTTCCACGTTTAAATGGTAAATCCAATTCTGATAAATATCTTAAAACAAAATTGATAAATCTTTGTAATGTAGCTTCTCCTAAATGTTGTTTTATATTAGCACTTCCAACTTCTTTTCCTTTTTCTATTTGAACCAGACCATTTTCTGGGAATATAAAATCAAATTCTTGTAAAATTCTCTTTCCATTGATCTGTTCAAACATTTTCTCTAAATCAGAACCTCCTACGATAGCAATTGTTGCTTTTGGTTTAATTTTTTCATAAAGAAATTTTTCCATTTCTGGTTCAATTACCGTTCTAGGGAATGTAAGTGTTCCATCAACATCGAAAAGAAGTAAAATTTCATCTCGTTCCAATTGGACTACCATTGTTAGATATTGTTTATTTAAATAATTTCCTAAATTAATGAAATATTATGTGAAATGAGATTAACTTTTTAACCTCTGCTGTTTCTTAAGAATTTTTGAAGGTCCTAATCAAAATTTGTGCATCACGAAGCAAATTTGATAAAAAAATTGCACTTTTTAAGCACTTGCATTCTCTCTACTTCCACGTAAGTATTTTTAATTATCGAATGTAAACAAAATCACATGACATTTAAAACAGTATTTCATAAACAGCATATAAAATGACGTTAAACTTCTAAAGCGATTTAGCAAAAGAAATACATTGTGTTTATTGATAATTAAAATTTGATTTCTTTTTTGTGTGTCAACTAGAAATCGTTTCTGAATTGAAAAATTAGTTAATAAACGACTACCACATACAAGGAATTTTTGTTTTGGAAATAAATGAATTATAATCTATTATAAAAATTCGTGATAAATTTAGTAGAAGCTTTACAAAACCGATTTTGCAGAAAATCGCGTAGAAATTTTCTTGTGGGAACAATAAAGCGTCATATATTAAATTTTACCACACCTAAGGTCACACAATGATTGACATTGACATACGTGAATTTTATAAACAAAATTTGGTGTAGTTAAAAAAAAATTTCAACACTTTCTTTAATAAAAGAAATCCAAATCAAAACAACCTTAAATAAAGAAAAATGAACCAAATTCGATCATGTGGATGTAAAGGTAAATGTTAATCCAGAATAAGTTTAAAAAAATGAACTAACTACCCTAACATGTAGGATGCCGCACGTGCCTTCTTTGCGAAAAAGAATACAATTTAAATAAAAAAGGATTTTTTGAACAATTTCAAGATTTAAATCCATATAGTTTTTGTCCAAAATGTAATAAACTTTATCCAGGCTGGAATTGCTTTAAAATTCTCGAAGATCATCCAAATCATTCAAATGATGGAATAGATTTTCCAGGAATGCTTGTGCAATTGAATTTTTTATCTGTAAACGAAGGAGAAGAATTAACCAAATCTCTGGATGAGTTACCATGGTGCGATTCTCAAAGTGGCAGGAGGAAACAAAATTTTGGTCCAAAAACAAATTTTAAAAAACGTAAATTACAAAATGGAAATTTTAATGGATTTCCAATATCAACAAAATTTTGTCAAGATAGATTTAAAGAAATAGAATTATTGAAAGAATTTCAAACAATTGAACAATGTACTCTAGAATATAATCCTGACAAAGGTGCCAGTATTGATCCACATATTGATGGTAATTTTGTTCCTGCTTTTTCTTACAGCGAATATCAAATTCTTTTTTTAAGATTGCTGGGTATGGGGAGAGCGTGTAGTTACTGTGAATTGTTTAGGAGATAGTGTGTTAACTTTAACAAAATATAATGGTGATAATTCAAAATATAATTTGAGATTAGTTGAAAATTATCAAGATCAATTAATATGTAATTTGGATAAGGCAGAAAAGCTAGATTTATATGAAAATATGGTTATAAGAATACCGATGCCCAAGTAAGTTTTCTAACATCGTGATTACGATTACCTTTAAGAAAATTATTATTGTAGTTTATCCTTGATTGTAATGTATGGACCACCAAGATACCAATTTGAACATTGTGTGTTGCGTGAAGATATTAATGAAAGACGTGTTTGTATAGCATACCGAGAATTTACACCAATGTACTTAGAAAATGGAATAGATTCTGATAAAGGAATAACTATAATAAATAATGCAAATGAATTTTGGAATCAAATTGATACTACATAAATTCTAGCATTATTATTTAAATTTACATTTGTACATAATATTAAATATTTAATAAATTATTTAAGTAAAAAAAATTGTCTAAATTAAATTATTTCGTTACGAAATTTTATTGCCTTCTATTTTTTTCCGAAGTTCTTCCATAGCTTCTTCGTCCGACTTAGTTTTATTTGGTTTTGGTGTAAGAAAATTAAAACCAATATGTAAAGCTCCAATTGCACCTCCAATCAGCAGCAGGGCTCTTAACTTTGAACTTTGCATTTTCATAAAAAATGTATACAAGAATTAGAATTTACACTGAACTAACATATGGGATTTGTTTACAATTAAATTGTCAACATAATATATTGACATTTATAATTTTTTGACAACAAAATATTCACAATAGATTATTATTTTATACATGCAATTATATTATTTCTAATTTTAGGCAACAGAGTGTACTATTAGCTGTCATTCCGTTTTGGAATAAAATTATTTAATTCTACACTTCTACTAAATTTTATTCATGTACAAATTTTGAGAAAAGGATTATGCTAGCGCATTTTAACCATTAGGATTATGCTGACGCATTAAATTAATGGAAAATGCAAATAAATTTAAATATAAGCAATAATCCCACTTGAGGCTATGAAAATTTTCAAATATCTTACCAAAAGAAAAAATTCATTCTACTGCATTACAATTTAGCTCACGGTAGCCCTTCAAAATAAGTTTATCAGATGCTAATTAAATAAATAAAAAAAACTAAACAAATTTCTAACCTAAAAGTTTGTTGTTAATTTTAGGTGCAGAAATATTATTTTGGTTTTTAGCAACTTATAAACATCCTTTCCTACAAAAATCCTTCAATTACATTGTGTAAGTAATTACATACCAATTCAAATATTTAAATATTTATTATTTCTCGAAATTAATTTTAGTTATTGAATTCTACCAAAAATTATGCCTGGATACTTTACTGATTCAGTTTTCAGTTCTACATCAATAAAATCAAAAGATAAAAAGTAGCTGGAATCAATATTAATAGCAAAATATAAATTCAATAAAAAGATGAGAAGACTTGGAAATTTACTAGCCTTTTTCAGTGCCATTGTTGGATTCTTTTTTGGATCATTTTTAACAGCAACCATAAGTAATTTTGAAACAATTGAAATTTGCAACGAAAAATATTCCAATAAATTGAGAGAAAGCAGTAATGATCTATTTATTGTTGTTTTAATATTAAGTGCACCAAATTATGAAGAGAAAAGAGATACCATGCGTAATACTTGGTTAAAATTATCATTAACAAAATCTTATTATCCTGAAGAATATTTAAATATACCAGGATATGATGATGATGGATTTTTGGAAGTTGAAACTATACCAAGTCAAATGCAACAATTTAATTATTTTCTTGATTGGAAAATAGATCATGGAGCTTCCTATATACCATCACGTGATATTAAAATTAAGCATTTTTTTGCTATTGGTACCAAAGATATGGATGTTACATTAAAAAACAAATTGGATAATGAAAACTCAAAATATCATGATTTATTATTTATTGAAGATTTAGTTGATAGTTATTCTAATTTAACGAAAAAACTATTAAAAAGTATAGAAATACTTTCAAATACCCAAAATTTTGATTATATTCTTAAAGTAGATGATGATACTTATGTAAAATTAGATTATCTAGCAAATGAATTAGTATCATATGATAGAAAATTATTACGAATCGCAAATGTTGAACAAGATAAATTATTACCAGAATTGTATTGGGGTTATTTCAATGGAAAAGCAAATATTAAAACGAAAGGTATATGGAAAGAAACTCATTATAATTTATGTAATCATTATATACCATATGCTTTGGGTGGTGGTTACGTTATTAGTAGAAATATAGCTTTATATATAAAGAATAACGGAAAATATTTTAATACATATTTGAGTGAAGATGTTTCAATGGGTATATGGTTAGCTCCATTAAAAAATATATATAGAAAACATGATATACGATTTGATACAGCTTATATACCAAGACAATATAAAGATTATCATTTAGTTTTACATAAACGTTCACCAGCTCAAATGATAATTTTATATAAAAATGATGAAAGTTTAAAAGATAGTAATTCTATTAAAGGATTAAATATTATGCGTGAATATTTCTATGATTGGAAAAAACCTCCAACAAATTGTTGTGATCAGAGCTCGACTGTTTAAAATATTTAAAAAATAAAAATTTCTTTTAAAGACCAATTTTTTAAAATATTTTAAATGTGCAAAAAGAATATAAACATAATCAATGTAGTAGTTATCATAATTTTTTTTTAAATTTTAAAATAAATTTTAATTTAGGTAATTGAAAATTGTGTGATTTATTAATAAGCTATGTATATACATTGTACATTCTGTGATATCGCAATTGTAATAATATCGTATCGATACAGTTGGCACTTATGAGCCGAATTATGCATTTTAACAGTATTATTACAATTCCGATCTTAGGAATAGTCTGTCCAACAATAGTTACAGATAATGAACTACGGGAAAGAGGAAGTCTGCTACAATACTAATTTTTTTTTCAAATATGAATTTTCAAAAATTTACATATTCCTTGTATATTTTTCAATAGTTAATTTCGTTTCTCATTAATTATATACACATACTATCAATTATTCCATCATGTTTCTTTATCTTTCACAAATTTGGTTATAACTAATTTATATTTTGAATGATTTTTCTTTTTAAAAACCTTAACTTCCAAAATACAGTAATACGGTATTAATACATAATTCATTACTTATAAGCTGAACAAATCCAATTTCATTCTCCAAGTTCTCATTTTCTAATTTTATTTTTTATTGATATCATATAGAAATTGTTATAAAATCAAAATCTTCTTATTTCTAGTATAATGCTATTTAAAATATTTAATACCTAGCTATTATCAAATTAATGTCAATCAAATAGTAGTTTTGTTAAAAAAGCTTTGACTCTGATTTTAAAACAATATCAATAAAGTACAAGTAAAATTTGTTTATGTGAAATTAAATTAATAGCTCATCTTATTTTTCATACTCTGGATTTAATATTTATTTATTAATCTATTAAATTTAATCTTCAAAAATTGTTTTTGATTTTTAATTCATGTTCTCCAGTAGTTTTAAGATTAGAAAAATTGCACTAACATGGTATTAATAAATGAGTTTGTCAGTTTATGATTTCTAATTGTTGATTAGTGTGTACCCATACAGTTTTGCTGTAATTTTGAAGTCCTGGATTACCATATCCTCTGATTTTAAAATTGCAGTAATGCTGCATTAATAAACATTTCAGCTTACTGCATTAATAAGCATCAATTGCTAAATAGGGTATGAATACCGTGATATCATGCATAAATTTTAAAGAAACAAAAATATTTGAAAATTTCTTTTAATTTAAATGCTTTAATTGCAATATTAATTATTTAATATCTATCATAATAAAAAATTCACTAAAATTCGCATTATTTTCAAACTTCTATAAGTAGACACAATATACATATACTATATACAATTAATTTATTAATCCAGTTGTGCATATACACTTGTTTATTAGTGATTAGTAACGATGTGTAGCCACTATCTTATGCACATTAATTAAAAAATAACAAGAAAGAAAAATTAATCGAAAATTCAAAAAAAAAAAAAACTATTACCAATCATATTTAATTAACCTTGACTACCTTACTGATCATAAAACAAACACATACGCACAAGTATAATTAAAAATGTAGGTTAAAAATAAATTTTTGCAGATTTGGTTACTCCAATTAAATTCATATTAAATTATATACGTATAACAATTTATAATTCATAATTGTTGCTTTATTAATGTTAAAATATACATCTATATATAAATACATATATGTATAACATTCTAAATATTTGTGTTATTTGTAATGATTATATAAAAATAATTAAATAATAATAATGAATTAGAAATATGAATGTCATATGTCATTTATTTTATACTTTATTAATTTTTGATATTAAATTTTTACGGGTCATACAAATAATTGCATGTAAATATAAATTGAAAATTTGTAAGGTATGTATGTATATGGGTATGTAGATCTAGTAAAATAGTTAAGATGACTTTATCACAATTTCTAATATAAATTTAATGAATGTTCATCAAAAAACAAAAAAAAAATCATGATTTTAAAAATCTCTGAAAAATAAAATAAACCAAAAACTCTTGAACTTCAATTATTTGAAAAAAAAAAATATTATTTTACATACATACATACATTTGTTACAGAACGAACATATAAAGAACTTAATATACAAAAACAAAAAAAAAAAAAACAAACTACAACTTGTTTGTAATTTTAGCATTGACACCGATATTGACTTATTCTAGAATGTACATAGGAGCACATACAAGCATGTTGTATGTTCTATATTCTATAATTTATTTAAATATACAGTGAGATCGAGTTAATTATGAACAATTAATAACATATGAGAAATTTTTTTTTTCCCTTCTTCACTCCTAGGAGCAGTATAGGGCTGGTGCATGATATCATGCCCTAGTTTCTATAGTCATAGAGAGTTAGCTAGGTAGTTGACTAGCCTACCGTAGTTTTTATTTATATTAAATATTTCAGTTTATTAATATTTACTGTTTATTTTTTTTAGTCTTTAGTATCGAATATTGTGAATATTTGAAAATTACTTGTATAATATTTATTAATACCCTTCGGTTAAAGGTGCCATAACCACTGCACCAATGGTCATATGAGACATACTTCACTATATATTCTATAATAATTCGGAGCGACAGTAAAATCGGAAAATTTATTTTAATATATCAAAAACTGGAAACTTGATAGTAAATGATATAAGATGTAAATTTGATATAAGGCTAAAAATTTAAAATTTTTTAAAATAGGTACTTCTAACAAACTATGTAATTTCATTTATAAAATTAAATATTAAAAATAAATATTAATATTTAACGGATTATGTACTTGGATAACACTATTAATTTTTGACAACTTCAATTTGTTATTTAAAAATTTTATTTAAAATTTTGACGCAGTTAAATTATTTTAAGCCGACTGCTGTTTTGTCTCTAATTCATTATTACTTTTTAGAAAAACTATTAACCGAAGGCATTTTTAAAACTATTATCACTGTAAATCTATAATGTTCTGTATTGCAGCAGCTAGTTCTTGCTTTCATATTTTAGTAATCTCCTAGAATGACTACATAATAATTAATTATGTTTTTGTATTATTTAATCAAAAAATTCGTTTTTAAATTATAAAAAAATGTATATTTTTTTTTCATGTGATATTGTGGGGAAAATTTTATTAAGCATTCCAAATAGATGGCAGAACGTTTTGAATATAACCTTGGATGTGCAAATTGAATAAGACTGATATTTTTATTTTATTCTTTATTCTTTGGTAATTTTTTTTAAACTATCTAATTAAAATAAACAATATCTTATATATTCTAAAATTTATTGAGATAAATTAGATAACAAGATAATTCTCATATTTATGTTTTGATAAAATTACGTGATTTCTTGTGTTATCTTACGTGATATTGTTATAAAGTAATAAAATGTGAACACAAAACTTCACAATAAACATAATTAAAAATTTGCATATTGGCGTCCATATTTTTTGCAAGAACTCAGCAAGTACAATAATTAGCTGAATAATGTATTACTACGATTTTGAAGGCAAGGTACTACAATGCATTTTTAAAGAGAGTATATTTTAACGACTGTCCAATATTACAGCTTCGTTACTGTATATATATATATGAAGTGTTTGTTTTTTTTTTAAATTTATAATACTAGTTTAGTATATGAAATATGGTATAGCACGTTTTCAATATGAAAATTATATTTAAAAAATAATATTTAGAATTTAAAAGCTCTCACGTAATTGGAAAAATTAATTTGTATTTTCCAGTTTTTTCGTTTTTTTTTTTTTTTTGTAATTTTCTTATGCTGCACAATTTCTTTTTTGTTTGTGTATTTATTATTAATTTTTTTTTTTAAATCAAAATTCACATATGAATAATTTAAATTTTTTTTTTTTTTTAGATTAACAAATCTATTTTGAAGAACCGAGATGAAATTTATTCTATTACAAACTCTCGTTAGAACTTGTAGTGTTTGAAAATTGTTTTGTTTAATAATAAAAGTTTAATTTTAATTGTTGAAAATAAAAAAGCAGGTGAGATTTGTTACTATTTTTTTGTTAATTCTTGTTATTTTTATTAGTATTTTCTATTAAGCGGCAATAAGGGTTTAGTGGTTTTTTTTTTTTTATATATAAAACATGTTTTATTTTGTGATTTAATTGAAGAAATATGAAAGTTTTGCGGTTTGCGAAAAAAAAAAAACTTATTTTGCAACAATACGGTGTTTAAATACAATTCAGCTTAAGAGTTGTTATTGCTGAATTGTTTAACAATACAATATAAATTAAATTTCAAAATAATAGGGAAATTTTGAAACACCTAAATGCAGATCTAAAGCCATTTTGGTGTTTAATTCAATAATTAAGATTTTAAAAATTTATGTTAAATTTGAATTTAAGAATAATCGTTCAAAATGGTGGAATATAAATAAATTAAGATAGAATTTAAATACAAGAATTTTTAAATTGAAAAAAAACAAAAAAAAAAAATTTTCATAATTTAATTTGATATAATCGGTTAATGTATGTTTGTTGTAAAATTAAAAGGCTTTTATTGTTTATGGTTGTGCAGTTCAATTTGTTGATTTTTACCTAAACGCAAAAAGGCAGATCAAATTTAAAATTGATTTATTCAACAATACAATTTTAATTGCTGAATAAGTCATTTTAATATTTTATTTGCTTCTAAGTGTGAGCTCGATAGAATACTTAAAAAGTTGTAACTCTTTCGTTATTATGCTTATTAGATTTTTTTGTTTGAAATTCGCCCTGACTTCAAGATTGAATTAATATTAAAGAAATGCAATATTTTTAAGACGTTGTCAATTACTTTTTTTTTTTTTAAATTTAATAATGTTGGTGTAAATGTTGTAAACGTTCCGCTGTTGTTCTGTTTCTGTTCACTGCTTTGGTTCTGGTTATTTACACATATACTAAGAAAGTTATCGTCTTTATAGTTTGCAATTTGCGTACCGTATATTAGATTCAGCGATTATTACATTGTATTGCTGAATAAAATAAACTAACGGAATATTAGATTTCAATTATAGTTTTCAATTTTATTCTCAATTAACTGAGTTGATTGCCATATATTTTTTTTTTTTCAAATTATATGGGCATAACAATTTTGTTTACGTATTCGCAATTTTTATAGTAAATTTACTTTTGTTTATTTTTAAATTATTGGTGATTCACACATGAATAAATAAATGTATATACAAACAAAATGTATAATGACGCTCTCGTGCGTACATAAAACAAATTGATTAAAACATAAACTTACTGTTTACAAATTCACAAAATTCTAGTTGTTTTATAACAATTTTACATACTAGGAAAGTTGTTCTCTTTCTTATAATTCCATTTTTAATCTTAAAGAAAAAATGAGGAAATTATTTTGATGATTTTTTTAAATATACCTATATAAAGTTAAGTAAATTAAATTTAGTTGTTTGTAGGTACACACGTATAACAAATTTATAGTTCACAATTGCCTTGACCCCTAGTTTATAGTTGTTAATTTTGCATATAATATAACAAAAGCTTTAATTTAAGTAAATATTATAAAAAGAATTGTTAAGTTCTATTTTAATTACTGTAAGTAATAGTAAAAATGAATGAAATTGAAATTAATAAAATGTTTTTAATTACAAGAATTTTTATTTTTATTAATAGTTTACTTTTGTTTTATTGCCCTATGATCACGATTCACGATTATTTTAATTTTTGTTATACACATACACACTAAGTATACTAGAATTTAAAAATTTTAAATTTTATAGTCTAATTTCGAAATAATTAATTATAATTAATAAAAAAAATAATTACTATAAATAAATTCAAATGAGTATTAATTATATTTTAATATGTTAATAATTAAAACTTGTAAAATAATGATAAATTTTGGTATTTATCCTAAAGATTTCAAAGAAACTAGAAAGCTTCAACTCCACAATTTCAGAATTGCAGTAGTATAATTTATTGCTGCATAATTCAGCGATTACAACTCATAAGCTGAATCATGTATTAAGCAATTTTGAAATCAAAATACAACTTGACTTACTTTTTACGGAGGTAGTCCTCCCCAATTGTAATAATTTTAAAAATATATTATGTATAATAATTTTTAAAATAATAATTAACAATTAATTTAAGTTTATTTATTTTTAAGATTCTTCTTTAGTTGAACACAAACTACAATATGCCTACTCCAGTTATAAATCCTAATTTAGATTTGGAACCATTAAATAATGAGGAAATATTAAAAATAGCACGTAAACAAGGTGAAGATCCAGATAGAATTTGTTCAATAATTGATGAATTTCGGAATATTATTTATGGTAAATTATTGTATTTGTATTATAATACAAAATTTAAACTAGATTTTTAAATAATTATAAATTTATAGAAAGAGAAGACTGTACACCACATAGAACTGATACTGAATTTTTAATAAAATTTTTAAGAGCTAGATTTTGGAGAATAGAATCAAGTTATAAATTGGTATAAAAATAATTATTAAATTAATTGCTAATATTATTAAAAATTTTAATTTTTTTAGTTATGCAATTATTGTAATTTTCGTAATGCAAATCGTGATTTATATGAAAAATTACATCCACTTGATTTAAAAGATATTGGTGAAGCTGATGTTGTTACAGTAACACCATATAAAGATCAATTGGGTCGTCGTATTATGATATATCGTTTTGGTAATTGGATACCATCAAAAGTACCAGTTGATGATATCTTAAAAACAACATTATTACTATTAGAAATGGGTGCATTAGAACCATCTTTTCAAGTATTAGGTGGTGTTGGTATAATTGATTTAACAAATTTATCATTACGTCAGGTATTTCATTTAACACCATCAGTAGCACAAAAAATGTTAGCTTTAATAGTGGTTAGTATATATTATTTTACTTATATTATTTTTAAATAAATTTATTTTAAATAAGTAATTTTTAGACATCATTACCAATACGAACAAATGCAATACATATTGTATTTCAAAATTGGGTATTTAATACAGCATTCAGTATATTTAAACCATTTTTAAGTTCTAGAATGAGAGAAAGAATATATATACATGGAGATGATATGTCATCATTACATAAGCATATATTACCAGAAAATTTACCAAAACGTTATGGTGGAATACATGATGATTGTCCATATACAATTTGGGTTGAAAATTTATTAAAAAATGAAAAAATTTTAAGAGAATTAGAATCATTAGGATATGTTGTTCATTCAAGAAATTTATTATTAAATAAAAATTAGAATTTATTAAATTTTAACTTAAAATGTAAATTTTTTTAAATAATATTCTCTATGAAATATTAAAGCTAAAAATACTTTATTTCTATTTTTTATATTGTAATAGAAAATTAAGCAGTACACAAGAAATTAACTATAATTATTATTGATTATTAAATTTTTTTTTTTATAAAAATTTAATTTTTTACTCAAGCTTTTAAAATTACATGAATTTATTCAATTACAAATTCCACCCCATACACAAAGTATAAAAGAAAAAAAATTATTAAAAAAGCTCGGGGGCATGAAACTTTGTACCGAAATTTTGATATTTAGAACAAAATATCTATATAAAATATGAGTTTAATTAGTGTATATATATATTTCATTAAGTTTTTTATAAAGTTATTAAATTTATATTTTTTTAAAATGTAAAAGAAAATAAAAAAAATTTTGTGATAATAAAAAAAATTGAATTTTCGCTAGTCCGAATTTTGTACGTAGTATAGATGGGGATTCAAAGCAAAATATTCTATTCTCAAACTTTTATATTCACTCTGGTGCAAATTTCAATAACATTTTGATACGAGTAGTTTTTCAAGAACGTAAAGAATGTATGGCATAATCCTAATATGGATAATTTAGTTTATGCGATTGCCTTGGTATTCATCATTGTTAAATATCGTTAATTTTCATTATCACCGACAATTTTATGCATTCAATCCTTTCTGAACGGCAGAATATGGCAATTGGTCTTCAAATAAATGAGATTTTTTGGCTATAAAACTGAGTAAGTAATGGGTAGTAATCGTATGTTGTACCTAAATACATATTACATACCTAAGCTCACTCCAACAATTTTTTCTATATTTTTCTGCACATAAAAATTGTAAACAAGTAAATAAAATTAAATTTCATTATATCATTATTTAATTAACAGGGCTCTTGACTAAATAAAAGATCAGTCTTACATTTTAATATTAAATTTTTAAATTTATATTGGAATTTTTTTCCCATGTGCTCTACTATTTTAAGTCAGGTCATTTTGAATTGTACAATTGAAATTTGGGTTTCATGTAAATTATTTTGAAACAATTTAATGGATTCTTGAAAGGTTAGAGTTCGAAACGAATAGGTAGGTACTTATTTCCATTTACATTTTTTAATTTTTTTATTTTGTAGATTGCATGTTTATTATTTTCAATTCATCAATCATCACATTTCTGTTTTGAATACCAAATACTTATAGCCTAAAGAGAGGTCTGTGTCTCTATGTTTGAAAACTAATTCTTTTATTCTTCTTGAGTGTAAAGCCTTGATATGTACATCCAAAATTATTTCTTTGAAGTACTTAATATATTTAGGATTTTCTTCTTCAACTGCAACATACATATATTTTTGTTTTCAACTTGGATTTTGGAGTTTAAAATTTAATCACGTTCGCAATATAAACAGAAATGTTTCATGTCGTTTTATTAGAAATAAAATAAAAATTTTTATTAAATTTTTTATTATAGAAAAATGTTTTATATGACGAAATTTTAAAATACAAAGATTGCAAAATGTAAGTTAATGCTATGTACCTACTTATTTTAAAATAGATACCTTAATTGATCAACCTATCACTAAATAGCCTAATCAACATCACTATCACTTTCTTCTTCATTTTGATTCATTGCTTTTTCTTGTTCTATATTAAAAAGTTCGATAAAAGTTTCGAACTCAATTAAGGATATTCCACATATTTTCTTACAAAATTCTTTGTCAGATGTATCAATGATTTTATACAGCATAGGATTTTTTGTTTGTATATTTGGATCACTTTTAGGAGATCGTGGTTTAAAAAGTCCTAATCTTTCCAAAAAGATATGCCGGCATTTTAATTCATTCAGAGGTTTTGAAAAAACCTTTGATTTAACTATTTCGGGAGTAGATAATCGCATTCGTTCTTCTAAATATAAAAAGTAATTTTTAATTATCTCTTCTCTTCGTGTTAAAATTTCAGGTGAATTCAATAATAGCAGCCATACGTTCTTAGGAGTTTTTACAAAATATTTCAAATAGGATATTTTGTTGGCAATATGTTTATAATCTTTTACATCTAAAATTTCTGGGTGCACTAAAATTAATTCTTGAAATTGCCTCTGGCCAAATTCAAAACCTCGCCAAAATTCAATATTATGGTTCAAGAAATTTGCTGGATGTTTGAGAATAGATTTATTTTTTTCTACAATTTTCAAAACTTCATCGTTTTTGAACCCATATTTTTGGAAAATTTCACAAGTAGTTTCCCATTTTTCTTTCGTGATATCTGATAATAAAGGTGTTTTATTTACATCGTTTTTTAATTGATCTCCAGCTAATTGTTGAAACTTTAAAAACGTACTCTGTTTAAATAAACAAAAAAACTTTATTCAATTGTTGATTTAAGATACGAAGAAATCTTACCGCACTAAAAGATCTCCTGCCAAGAATTGTAGAGGTCTTGAACATGATTTTCTATTTATTTCATAAATTCATTGAGAAATAAAGAAATTTTAATATTTTATGAAGCAACTTTCCTTTAAAATTACTTTGGATAAAAACAAAAATATAAACATAACCTATAATTGAAATGTCATTTCTCTTTATTTTCAAATATAGGTCTGTTCGCTTTGTGTACAAATTTTCGATTTTATTCCGGAGAGTCAACCATTAAGCAAAGAAATAATACAAGTACGAGTATAAATGACTTCAACAAAGTGATATTAATTTAAATTGATTTTGGCCATAAATTTAATAAAATTGTAAATAAAAATACACAAATACCGAAATTAAAAACTGTATTGTTCACATATACTGAACTAAAAACAGATATAGAATATTAACGATATTACGATCTGTTATTGCTACATTGTGTTTTTACTATTTCAGATTGAAAGCCCTAAAATGTCTTCATAACATTTCAAATGAAATAAGCAAAATTTTTTTATTGACTGATTGATTGAGTGAAGCCGGCTTTTCCTCAAATGACGCTTATATGGATGTAAAATAGGTTTAAAGTTTGCTTGAAGCTGTATTAAATGCTTTTTTTGTATTACTTATCTTATATTTACATTAGAAGTTAGATTATACTAGATTATGCATTAAATAAAATAGATATTTTTGACACCTTTTATTTTAATTTTTTTTAATCAGGTTGAAAAATTCGGCGTTCTTTAAAAAACAATAAAAAAATGAAAAATTGAAAAAATTAAAAATTTTAACTCCTTAACAATTTCAAAGTTTTAAATTATAATATTTTGTGTCCATAATTTAATATATAGTTTATATTGTGATATTTTATTAGTCACACTTTATTTAAATTATTTAGTGGAACAGTGCTAAACAACAGAAAAATACAATATTATTATAATAATTAATACGGTTTTATTGAATAGTAAAATTACTATATTTCCATTTAAATGGTAACTCGTAAGAGGTTAATTTGACAATTTGTTTTTTTTTTCTTTTCGTCCACCATACCGGCAATTTTTGTTATTGTTATTGTTTTGATTGGCTTTTATCAATATTTTGATAAGAAAACTCTAATCCAAGGGAAATTCAGTTTTTTAACTAAGTATACAAAAAGTAAAATTTAAGTTTCAAATAAATATAAACAGAAAAATGCGGGAAATGAAGTACTGGATAGCGAAATGGAGCTTTTTAAGAAATCCTATTCATATTTTATACTTTAGTTATCTACCTAATTTAACAATTGAAAAATCGGTCAATAGAGATTGCGTTTAATAACCAAGTGTAAGTACAATACTAAAATTAATATTAATCTAAGAATTTATTTAAAATAAAATACATAAATAGCTTATCAATATATTCAAGTACTTCTGGTCATAGTTGTATCGATTAGATAAAAATTTTTAGTATACTAACTTCGATTGGAGAGTGAACTTTAAAAATTATAATACTTGGTCAGCGAATTTAAAAATTATATGAAATTTTGAAATGATTCCATTTTATTTGGAAATATTATTAGCTCTATGTTTAATATTTTTCTTGTATGCAAAAAGACCAGAAGTATATGACAGTACACTGGGAATATACAGAGTTAAACCAGGAAGATTTTATTATTTGAAATATTACGCAGCTTTGATTGTACTGAAGGTAAAACAAATTGATTTTATTCAATATCAACGCATTTATTACATGTTACGTAAGTATAACTTATTCAATTGTTTTTTAGTTAAGACGTTTGTTCGGTTTGTCGAATAGGTCACCTGGAATTTTATCAACATATCAAGGTTGTAGCCGCCAAGAGGGTTATCATATATATAGTTCTTCGTCAGATCGACAAACCTTAATATTAGAAAATGGAAATAAATTGCTATTAAAAATACCAAAATTCGCTGATTGCCTTCTCGTAAGTGAAATAGCAAATAATCCCAAAGAAATTGGTCCTATAATTGTCGAACATTATCCAGTCAATTCTAATATTTATAGAGAGAAAGCAATATTAACATATAATGGCTTGATGAAGTAATTTGTTTTTTTTTTTTAATTGTAGATAACAGACATTTATATTCTTATCTGTAACATCTTTTAAGGTCAAATGAACGTGATAGTAAACATTTTTTAGTTAATATAAAAGCTGAGTGGAATGTAATTTTACCTTACTTTAATATGTATTGGGAATTAAGTGATGAAAATTTTGCTAATTCGATATCAAAGGAGTTATGGAGCAAAGATTATTTTGAAAATTTTAAATTATTTCAACATATAGATTTTTGGGGTGGATCCGGTGAAATGAAAGGCAATGTCACAATCGATGGACAACGTTTTGATTTGTTTGTGAACTTTACTCAATTATTTTCAAATGGTAATTTAAACATATTTTGGAACAGAATAATTTCGAAATTTTTGATTATTACATATTTTATATTAGGAGATTTATCATTATCACATCTTGTACACCGTTATGTATTACATTATATTACTATACCAAGTGGTCCAAGATTTTGTGTTGGTGTTGCTAGTTTAACTCAACAGTTTTCAATGTACAATTAATTATTTTCTCTTTTTTAACTTTTTATATGTATTATGTATTTAATTTTCATTTGTAGTTTACCAATTGGTTGGGTAACATCAAAATGCAAAAATTATCCGATAAAATCTTGTGACTTTCAAATACATAAATATGGTGAAGGTAATTCTGAACCACCAAAGGCTTATCATTTTCTGATCAATACAGGTTTAAATAATTTTTAATTTTTATATTCAATATTTTATTTAATCAATTTTTAGATGGTGGTGATATGTACAATATTATTGTACGTGTTAGATCTAATTTTAGATTTTATCATAGAAGTGAAAAATTTAAAAAAGTAATTGATTCAGATTGTAATTTCATAGTAAATGGAGAAGAAGGATGGGGTCATGTACAATGGTATTATCGAAGATAGTTATATAGAAAAGCTCATAATATTGAATAATATTTTGTAAATAGTATTTTTACTTTTACAAGTGTGTTTGAAAATTTTTAATGAATAAAAAAGTTATTTTGTTTATTTTTCAATTATCATTTGTTGTTTTTTTTATTTATATATTTCTACATATAATATTTTCATATTCCATTAATAATAATAATTTTTTAATTAATAATTCTACAATAATACAGAATGAATTTTTTCTTGTTTTTCTTTGACTAGGTATATATATATATATATATTTTTCAATATAATAATTATTTTGATAGGGAGCTAATTGAACGGCAAAATATTTTGCTGTTTTTTAACAAAACTAATGTGAAACTAGATAGTGATAAAGTGCTAAAATAAAGTTTTCTGTTGAAATTGTTATTCTGATTTAAATATTATTTCTAATGGTGTTAATTGGCTCCAAATTAATTTCGCATATATTTACATATTATACATACGTAATATTATTCGTATCATCACAAAGTTTTGTAACATTTGCCGTTTTTGATATTATATTTTATATTCAGACTTTTTCAATGTGCCTTTCCTTGAGTAGTGTTAATTTCAATAGTGTTTTTTTTAAATTGCAAACGAATGAAGAAAAAAGGCACAAATCAATAAATCAAAAGATACTTCACACCTAATGCATTCTATATTTTTTCTTTCATTATTTCTTTAGTATATTATTTTTCTTTTTTACAAATATAATATTTATGAAGTTTTTATAAAAAGGGAAGAAATTCTTTATTAACGATATGTCTACGATGGTAAGGAGTTTATTTTAATAAATCATTACAATTGCTTTATATTAAAATTTATTTTAAATATAAAATTAAAATTTAAATCAATCATACTTCTAAGCTAACGCGCTAGAATTTAAATAATAAAAATATGATAATGTATGTAGCATATTATTTTGAATTTTTTAATATAAAATATTATAAATCATTTACATAATATAGCTATTGTTTTTATGTATATTTTTTTTCATTAATATATCAATTTTAATAATTCTTTTTTTAGTGCAGTCACCTCATTAGATAAGAAAATGAGTAGACGGAGTGCGATAAATAATAAACAATATAATGAAGCTTAATGATGTCTACTTACGTATAGATGGGTACATCAACATTAATGAAGAAATTTCATCGTTAAAATAGAGATAAGCTAGCTAATAGAACATTGTATTAATTAGAGAATAGCACATTGAATTATTTTGTGTTACACAAGAGGAAATCAAAATTTTAATTTTGTGCTTTTGGTTACGATACTTTAACATATTATGAAGTATGAGCTGAACTTTGCATCATAATTGCGGAATTGAATTTTTGATTTCACGTATTGTTTATTTAATAACAATGATTAAATTATGTTATACGCAAATTATTAATTTATTGCTCAAAATTTCAAATATTAAGAATTTATATGTTAAACTAAAAATATTTGGAATTATAAATATAAATTCCAAATATATAATATAAATTTAATTTAGGTTTTTGATATTTTGAATTTCATTATTATTTTTAATATTTAGCGTAAATATATATTTAGAGGGTTAGAATGTTTTATTGCTTTAGATGATGCATAAATTATTTTCGTATAATGCTGTAGCTGAATTAAACCATATTTCAAAATAACTCCTAGCACGCCGCTAATATTAAAGAAAACAAAATTTTTAATCTGATATTATTTAATAAATAGATTTTAGTTTTAATTAAAAATAATTTAACCATAAAATGTAATGATTTAATTGTTAAACAGAGCGAAGAATTTTAATATCAAATATTTAATTATACTTATATATTGGCATTAGTTAAATTAAAATTTTTTCTACATTTTAAATTTGATTTTTTAATATTAAATGAAATTTTAAAAACTATAAAATATTACAAATTATTGTACTTATAAATTAAATGTTTATATAAATTAAGCTTATATTCAAAAGTAAATAATGTTTTTGTATTAAAAAAAAGCAATATTTTAATTATAGATCCTCACAAAATTTTTATGTTCTTATTTTTATTAATTTATTGCAAAAATATTATTTATTTTATTAATAATATTACGATAAATTTTAATTGTTTTTAATTTTTAATTGAACGACACTACATTTTGTTCTTAATATGTTTGTAAATTAATAATTTTTTTATTGTATTTTTTTGTGTTATTGAGATTTTAATTTTAATTTTCAGCTTTTGTTTTCTTATTTTAATTCTATATATTTTGTATTGTTCACCTAGGCACTTTACAACTTTTATTTTTTATTAGGTAGTGTTTTTTAATTTTTTTTTTTTAATAATTGGTTTATTTAAATTTTTTTCGTTTTGATATTAAAAATTAAATTTATTTAATTTTAAATAAATATTTGATTTGCTTTGTTTTTTAAGTTTTAATTCCAATAATTATTGTTATTAAAATTTTTATATTCTTTCTTAATTTATCCAATAAATTACATTTATTTCAAAAATGAATAATATTACAAATAATAATTGAAATTATAAAAATAAAAATACATGTATTTATTTCTAAATTTATAATAATTTATGATAATATTATTGTAGGTGTATTCATTTTAATTGTTGTAATAAGTCAAGTAAGTTTTTAATTTTTTAATATTTTGTAACATTTTTAACAAATATGTTATTTTTATTAGATCTTAAGAGACTTAGATTTTAGAAAATAAAAATTTAAGTAACAAATTATTTAAAAATTTTTGTAGGAATAAAAATTTAAATTTTCTTACATAAAATTTCATATAGAATAGATTATTTTTATATTTTCTATTAGATTACAATAAAACAATAGACGGTTTTAGTTCTTTTTTTTATAGTTATTTATATCGAAGTATTAGATCATGTTAATTCTAGGGTAACTTTAATTAGCATGTATGTATTTAAAATTTTTTAAAACATTGTGAGATGATTTAGAGATTTTTGAATTTGTATTCTGATTTTTCTTTGAATTCATTATAGTTCCAGTAGTAAAACTTGGAATTTAGAACACCAGACGTAAAAGACTTGGTTTATTTATTTTATTTGATGAAATTTGCTATAATTATTTTAATTGTTTAAATATTCCATTTTGAGCAAAAATTGTTTAATAATTTTAAGGTATTTGTAATTTAATTTTCTATTTTCATTAACTGTAACTATTTCGATATCTTGCAAGGAATTTCAGATGTAGGTGGAATTTTGAATAAAGTACATACATTTTCTATAATTAAATTAATTTATAAAATAAAATTTTTTTATGGTCTCAGGCAGTCTCGAAATATGAAACATATGAATTGTGCATTAAATTTTTAAATATTAAGAATTATAATTTTTAAATAAAACTAAATAATGTAAATAGGTATTACTTTTTCTGATTCATTTACTTTAGTTTAATAAATTTTGAAAAATTTACAATTCAATCAAATTGTGGTTGTAAATTTATTCAAATTTTAATTTGTAATCATTTGATTTCTGTAATAAAAATTCAATATGTAAAATATTTTACAATATTTTAGAGAATTTTATAAAGTTACCATTTTATATACTAAATTTTAATATTAAATATTGGATTTTTCTTTCTTTTTTTTTACAAAAATTTTTAAGATTATTATTACATATTCAATTCAAATTAGCAAAATGTTTTAATTTTAAAATATAATATATTCGTAGCAATTATTTTTATATTTATTCTTTAATATAAAATTTTTCTTTTAATAACATATTTAAATTGTTTTATTAAATAATATTATTTAAATTCGTTAGACGATTAGACGGAATTTTAATTGAAATAGAAATAATTTAATATAATAACAATAGTAAATCTATTCGGCTCTTAAAAATAATATTTTTTATATATAAAATATTAATAGTTTATGAAAGACAAATTATAAATTTTTAATTTTAGAATATATTAACATTTTTTATATTTCAAAATTTCTAAATAGAATTAGATTTTATTATAATAATGTACAATTAAAGCCAAATATTTGATATTTTTCTGTAATAATTTTGATTTGAAAAAAAAAAAGGTGGTTAATTCGCATTTCTTTTACAATACTCCAGCATACGCTATACAATTTTTAATTAATAGAAACCATAAAAATAAATATGTAAAATATGAAAAAAATATTTTTTCGTTTTATAATGAAAATTATGTAACAATAATAATTTATTATACAATTCATTCGAAATATTTTATGATTTCACATTAAAAAAAATGTAAAATTTAATTTAAATTAAAAAAAAAATTTATGTAACAAATATGTAAGTAAAAATTTCAATTTCTGTGAAAATAGAAATCGTAACAATTATCGGCTATATACACAGAAAGAATTTCGAATTATGATAATTAATTAATTATAATGAATTAATTGTATAAATTAAATTAAAAAATGTGCAACCTTCATAAATTAATTTGTTTTTTAATTGTCTTTTACATAATTTTTGTGTCGTAACATGTAATCGGTGTAAATTTTACAAAAAATTCTCAAAGAAATGAAGGAAATTTTTGATTAATATTGAAAAATAATATAAAATGATTAATAAAATTCAATATAAATATGAGAAATAAAAAAAAATTATTAAAAATATCCTCATTTTTCAATATCGTTCCGTTGCTTTTGGAATAAGAAGTCAGAGAGCCGATATCATTTATTTTTATATTGTGATTTTAAATGTAATCAGATGTTAGTCATCATTTAGTTACTTGGAATTGTAATGTAACAAATTTAGTCGAAATTTTAAGATTTTTAAAATATATATTAAAAAAACACGAGAATATTTTTGATTCTGATTTAAAATTATTAAAAAATGTGACTGAAAATGGTAGAGAGAATGGGGTTAATTATTATGCATTTTCAAATGAATGCTTTATCTTGAAATTTATTACAATTTCTGATTTAAGTACATAATTAATATAAATTATTAATATTAAAATATAAATCATTCAAAGCTTCCATTTTTTTTATGAAATTTAGTACACATTTTATTTTTAAACTTAAAAATCTTAATGTGAATGAATTTCTAAAATAAAAATAATATTCAAAATAATGAATTTAATTTATTTTAAAAATGGAGACGTACTCAATTATTTTTTTACTGAAACTAAAATTTAATTAAAAAATAAAACTAAACTAAAATTTAATTGCTGACAATATTGTTGAATATAATTACACAGTCAATTTTCTGTACAAAATTGTTAAAGTCAACAATATAACAGAAATAGGTTTTATATAAGTGAATGTACTAATCGAAAGTACTTAAGTAATTAATGTAATCAGTTTAAACGAAAAGTTTAAAGTGTACAGAAATTTCTGTTAATACTTGTATAATTTTTAATACAGGTAATTTTGAATAAACCAAAAAAAAAAAAACAATTTTAATTTTTTAAAAAAACAACCTAAAATCAACTACTATCATTTTTCCAATTCATTTCGAATTTATCATCTATTAGACCGCTACCAGTTTCATTTAAAACTTTATTTTTTAATAATTCAATTTCATGTAATAATTCTAATGTTTCATGATCTAAATTATCATCTTCGACACGTAATTGTTTTTGTTGTTCTTCATCAATATCCCATTCAAGTGATTCTGGTGTTGATATATGAGACCAACTTGTACGTGATGGTGTTCTTGTAAATGTAATCTGTTGTTGTTGTTGTTGCTGTTGCTGCTGTTGTTTCTGTTGTTGTTGTTGCTGTTGTAACAGTTGATTCTGTTGTTGATTTTCAATTTTACATTGTTGTAATGATATACTTTTATTATTACATTGTAATGTATTAAAATTATTAATTGATGATGGTGAATCAAAATTAATTGATGATGGTGATGATGTCATTGATGGACATTTATTTGATGAATTTTTTATATAAAAATTATTTTTAATATCTAATAAATTATTTGTTGAATTATTAAATTTTATAAATTTTTTCTTTGTATTTTTATAATTAACAATATCAATAGCATCTTCATCATCATCATCATCATCATAATCATCATAATCGTTATCATCATCATAATTATTTAAATCATTATCATCACATATATTTAATAATAATTGTTGTTTACTATTAATATTATATTTTTTAATTTTTTTCGAATTTTTTTTTATAATATTTTCATCATCTGATGATGGTATAAAATACCATGATTGTGTATTAATATTTTGTATTTCATCAGATGATGTATTTGTTATATTAATAATACGACGTTCTTGTATAATATTATTTGTATATTCATGTTCCCATTCTAAATCTAATGATGAACTAGCTCTTGATGAATTAACATTATTATTATAATAATAATTACTATTATTACAACAATTTATATTTGTATTATCAATATTAAAAATTTGATTTTTATAACAATTTTCATGATGATATAAATTTTGTTGATGATTTAATTGATTACAATTATTATTATTATTTAAATTTTGTTGATTAAATTTCATTGTTGCTGCTGTTGTTGTTGTTGCTGTTGTTATTGGTAAATCATGTGCAGTTGTAGCAATTGAATTATTTATTAATAAGCTATTTGCATCTAAACATTGTAATTGAATTTCAGAACTGTTATATAATAAAAATAATATAATACAAAGAAATTAGTGTATTTATTATGAAAAATAATTATAAATAAAAGTTATTTTATTTTAAAACGACTTTCATTATAGCAAATATGAAAATTTAAAAAAATTTTGAAAGAAAATAATAAAAATCATATTATACTTTTTGTGTACATTTCAGATAAAATCAAATACGAATGCCAAATAAAATAATTTAAATTTAAAATTTTGCTTATGTAAATATTTATTTACCATTGATAATTGAATATTTTTTAATATTGTGAAATTTGTTTTTAATTACCATTCAACAGATTTATCCTGTATATTTAATCTTTTATAATTTGATTCCTTTTGTTCCCAAAATTTTTCAATAAATTGTGGCCGGTTCTAGAAAAAAGAAAAATAATATTAAAAATTTTGAAGTATAAAATTATTTAAAATTTTCTATTTAGAGTTTTCCCCAAAATTCCTTATAATTTTAGCTATTATAGAATTTTTTTAACCAATTTACTTATGTATACATTTACACAAGATTATTTTAAAAATTTTCTTAAATGAAATTGAAAAAAATTCTGAACTTAATAATTAATGAAGCTTTAAATCCTATTCATATGAGCTCATTAATATTTAAGAGTGTTTACCTAATTAAGTGGCACAAGTAATAACATACATAGCTTTCGTTTTTTAACCCTTTTACCGTAATTTAATTTAAACTATTTTAATATTATTCGAAATATAGCTAATATACACAATCAGCTATATTACAATTAAATAAAAATAAGAGACTTCTGAAATTACTACTGTGTAAATATTGCATACTTTTAGGTTCGATTAAATTTAATGCTGAGCTAGGTTGAACCAGCTATAGCTACTTCGGAACTTCTTATAAAAAAACCAAAAATGACTAACGAAATTTTTGAAAAAAAAATTTTTTAAATTGATTGAAATTTTGAAATAATTTTATTCAATAAAAAGTCCACCCCTATAAATATGCAATTTTTTAATATTTTTTCAAAACTTTAAAGGTACTTATGTAACCTGAATTCTTTTTATTTATGACATACTAATTTATATTTATTTTTTTCAATTATACTTAATTTATGTATTTTTCATTATTTTAAAAATAATAACAATTATAAATTTCAACATTTTTTCATTTTCATATCAAATAATTTTATAAAATACTTTCAATAAATTTTTTTTTGTTTTTTAATTTTAAACTCTGCCAAAAACAATAATAAAAAAAAAAAATTTAGAAAAAAAAATAATCCTAAATTGCCAAATGTTTTGTTTTGCCAAGTTTTAATCTGTTTTTCATTACTATCAGGCAGGCATCAGATACCAAAAAGAAACCCATCCAAAACTTCAAATACAAGAAAAAACTTTTTAACAAAAAAAAAAAAAAATGAACTTTTTTGAACTCTCAAAATTTGTCAAAATTTTTTTGTTTTTGTTTTTTTTTTTTAATTTTCTCTATTGTTTATTGTTTTCTCACAAGAGTGCTTCTTTCTCATTTTTATTTGGTAAATTAGCCAAAAAATTTTTCATAATGAAAATTGTTGTTATACAAATATGCCAATTGGTAAAGAGTATATGTACATGGGAATTTATCCTCGACCGACAACATATTTATCAAGGTTATTAAATTCTAGGGTAAAATTTATTCAATTTTATTTTATTATTATTCTTCCCTTTTTTTTTTTTTGCTATCAATTTGAATTGTTTTATTTATTTATGTACATATATAATTGTTACTGTTATATAAGTATGTATTTTATATATGTATTTTTAATTTTTACCTATTATATAGAAATAATAATTTATTTTAATAATAAAATGCTTTTAAAATTACCTTTTTCTTTTTAAATTTAATTATTTTAAATATAAAATTATCCTCTTTTGTTTCGTCTTCTTGTACCAACTCATCAGCCTCTTGTTCATCTGTTGAGTGCCTATTCAAAACAAAAAAAAAAAAAAAATACAAAAGTAAAATATTTTGAGGAGATGAAAATTTTCTAAATTAACAATAATTATTTTAAAGTATACATTCTATATATACACACAATGATTATCTGTATATAAATCATATATAAATATGAGTATATGAGTATAATGTATGTATGTTTATATAATATATAAGTGATTATATTCATTAGGATACATCTTATATCCAAGTTATATAATCACTTTTTTATCATCAACTTTGTGTATGAAATTTTGTGTATCATGTACCACAATTATTTTTAGTTTTGTGTATGCCTACGCAGTGTGTAAAAAAGAACATTTGCAAGTAAAAATAATTCTTTTCATAGTGGCTCTTTCATTCTTTGACTCAGAAAAGTGTTTTTTTTTTTCTACTATAGAAGTATTTACATAGGGAATAAAATATTAAAAGATTCAAGTTAATTACTGTAGAATTGTTTACTGAAATAGAATGTACCACATATTGTGCTTGAGGATGAACTAAAATTCATAATACAATTTGATGAGAATTGTTTAGGTACACTTTCAGAAGCCCGACTGGAATTAAAAAGATATTTTATATTAGTAGTTGTAGATATAGGCTTTCTAACCCTCTTGTATGGTCTCTTCACTTTTAATTGAATTAAATAGCAATTATACTCAAAAGCCTAAAATTTCAAATATTTTTTAGATACACGAATTATTTTTATTAGCATCAATGAATTCATATTCCCAATTCTGTTAGAGATTTCTTCGGGTTTTTACTTAGAACTAAAGTGCTATTTCACTTTCGTCAGTGTAGAGGAGTTAAAATAACTCACAAATATTTTTGCAGTGCCCAAATAGGCTAATTTTTTTTTTACTATATTCGCGACTCATTTTAAAATCTTCAATTTATACAGCATTCATTTATTGGTTTAATTTGCCGCCATATGCCGCCGTTTCGTATACAAAATTACATAAGCTTATGAAATTTAAAACAAAAAATCTATTTAACCTTTGTTATTAAAAAATTTATTTAAAATTTAAAAGTTACTGGAAACACTCTGTATCTTATATGTACAGAAGCTATATAAATTAATTGAGATATGCCTAATTAATTAAAATTTATGTTGATAGGTTTATAATCGGTTTTAAAATAATTTTTCTAGATTAATTGTATAATCTCATCTTTAACTAAATTAAGAATTTCAATTAAGAAGAACAAAAAGAACAAGAACATTTACCTTTACCAATGTCAAAGTTATAATATTTAATCCTTTTAGTTCTTGTTCATTTCAGGCATACTAAAAATTTTTCTTTAAATATTATAATTTATTTTTATATCTAGCTTATTCTTTTAATTTTGCTCCTACTCTACATATTTTTCTAAGAAGACTAGTTTAATATTATAGTTTGCCTGTCTGTTCGTCTGCCTAAAATTTTTCATTTGACGAAATTTAGAAGAAATGTTTAAGAAGAATCTTTACAAGAAGGGGATTGAAAAGAATTACGTTGAGAAACATCTTTACTTAAAGCACACGTGTTAGACCCTTAGTGGAATAGATTTGTCAGGTTTGATATTTTGAAGAACGAGTAAAACAAGAAGAAATGTTTCCATTTCGTATTGTGCTGTTTAGGTTGGTTAAATCGTCTTACGCTGCCACCTTATAAATATAGGCTATAATTGATAGACTTGGAAAGGTTTTGCTCTCGTTGGGTAATTGCTTTAAGCTTGGTTTTATTCACTAACTTGTTTCTGGTAATGTTTTTTCATTTGTTTTGTTGAGTTAAGTTGTTTAAGGAAAAATTTGAATTAATAAAGATCGGTAGAATTTTTCAATATTCGTGATCACAATGCGAATTATGGGTAGGAATGAATCAATGACTATAAAATGTTGCGTACCGCCAATTCTTAATCTGATTGTTTCGATCTTAGCGTTCTTCTGGTAATTAATTTCTGGTAATTAAAATTTTTTCAGGCTAAGACAGTAGTAATTTGTGTTGTAACACATCTTTTTGAAATTGGAACAAACATTTTATGTCTCTCATACCAATAAACTTTAATTCCCTTTAATTCTCAAACATTTTCTTTACCTTCCGCATTAATAGATCAAAATTCTAAAATTCATATATTTTTTTGCCTAGTTGTAGAGAATTGCATATATTTCGGAGAGACGGTGAAAAATTTTGTTTCCTGAATAATATTTAAGATTAGCAGAGATTCGACTGGAACACGGTATACATACGTCAAAATCCCGTCAAATTCTTCGTATTCGTAACAGTAAACTACATGTAAACATATAAATTAATATTTTAATCTCGTTTTACAAACATGTGCCTAAAATCAATGAAAAAAATTAAAAAGTTTTTATTTTATTTTTTTTAATTTTTTATACACGTACATAAGTATTGTATGTATTAAAAAGGATAAATATTTGAAAATTTCGTTGCACATTACA